GCGCGGCGCGACGCCAGTATCAGCACTGGGCACTCACGCGGCGCGTGCCGTATGAAGAACGGCACGCGAGCGCACCAGATCAAATTATATGCGTTGTCATATGTATGCGCGCGCCGGCGTGTAGGATATATATTATACCTTATATAGATTATGCTTGACGTGTGCTCTCTTGCTACTAATTGTTCATTCGTGATTCGGTAAGCATGCATCGTGTTTGTATTGATGACTAGGCATGATGTGGCACGCCGTGTGTTTGGCATTATATAAAGAATATAATAAATATTTTACGAATATAGTACGCTTTTCCGTTTGATACCAGTTATGCGTTCCGTTAGTAAAGGATTTATTTCAAGCATCGAGCAGTTATATGGCGGATTTTTATTACAATGAGGTGAAGTGTTATAATGCAGAAATGTACATTACATTTGACATGGCATTCGTTTAAGAGAGATTTTTTATGTGGTGTATATACGATCGGGATAGGCCGCAATGTAATTTAAGGGTATTATGGTTTTGTAGAGCGCGCGTTCACAAGAATGTGTTTCGTGAGAGATGCGGGTTATTTAAGATCGATGTACCCACTACGTACTCCAGACGCGCTGCGGCGCGAACAAACGCAACACATACACACACGTGCGCGCGCACACAGACAGAAGAGCACACACCGCGCTGCGCGGTGCGCGAGCACATAACACACCACACGCAACAACACACAAACACACACACACGCAGACACACAACCACCAACATCACCACACAACACACACCACCACACACGCACCAATCGACCACCATGACAACCAACACAGCACAACACACACACACAAACACCACAAACAACACACACACACAACCACGGCAAGCACCTCGGACACGCAGCGGCGCGACGCAGCACGCACGTACACAACCACACACACACACACACACAACGACAGCACACACACACACACAAACACACACTATCAGGCAGGAGTGAAACAGTGCTCTCTTAATATAGAACAATGTAGTATGATTTTTATTATATATTTAGATGATATCTTTTTAGATAGAACTAATACGTTTCGGGCGAACATGTCAGTAATGTGATGTGTTTCTCAGTTTGTCGTGTGGCTGTAATAAACTCTAGAAATTGAATTCTGTGCTTATCATCTGTAGGTATGTGTATATCGCAGTGGAAGAAGCAGAGGGAAGGGGGCGTGGAGAGGAAGAGAAAATGGAGAAGAAGAGAGAGACGAGAGAGAGAGAGAGAGAGAGAGAGAGAGAGGAGAGAGAGAGAGAAGACGGACAGAGCGAAAGAGAGGGGGGGAAGGCAGAGAGAGACGAGGAGAGAGGAGAGAGAGAGAGAAGAGAGAGGAGAGAGGAGAGAAGGAGAGGAGAGAAAGACGGAATACAGAGCGAAAGGAGAGGCGGGGGAAGGCAGAGAGAGAGAGAGAGAAGAGAGAGAAGGAGAGGACAGACGGAGAGACGAGGAACAGAAGCGATGATAAATAAAAAGCAGCTGGATGACAGAATAGAGGGAGGGCATACATATAAACCTACGTTTTGCTCATCTTACTGATCTAATGTGCGCACAATTTGACAGGTCGGTCACCGAGCGACATGCTCGCCACACACATAGCAGCTTACCGTATTCCTTACAGAAAACTGAAAAGAGGGCAGATAACAGAATGGTTGCGTCGCAAAACTTGCTCCATCAGGCCATGTGCGCCTGCGGTTGGGGACGGAGTCAATGACAAGCAATTTCTAATGATGCAGTGAACATTATAAGACGAAGAGCGCAAAAATATCAACTTGTTTATCCCGCAAACTTAATATATGTATTTTTTCTGTTGTTATTTGCCCAAATTTGACTAAAAAAACACTTAAAACGCGCATCGCGTAGATTGTGCGGATTTGGCAAATTTTCACATTCATCAAATCACTGATTACGTGAGCACAATTAAATTACAGAAATATTTATGCTCGTTATAATTAGAATGATTTGGACAGTCAATGCGGTTTCGTAAATAGCATTTTCTTTTAACAGTTTCCAACGTTATTTTGTTCACACACACGTAGTCATTGGATTGGGTTTTTCAGAGTTATTCCACTTAAGTCTATCGTAAATGGACGCTTGATCACGACGCGTACATAGCAGATTAAGGCGAGCGAGCTGACTATGATGAAGAGAATGCATGCTGACCGCAATTTCACTGTGGGATTGTTTCCAGTAGGGAGTGGGATAAGTCAAGGAAAATTTGCATGGAAAGGCGGTGCGCGAAAGCGACTGTTTTGATGGTCATGGGATCTATGTGCCGTGACAGTTTTGTTGGCTCTGGTCCAAGTGCGATGATCCAAATGCGACGATGTGTGTGGGTATGTGTGTATGTGTGTATGTGTGTTGGGTGTTGTGTGTATGTGTGTAGTTGTATGTGTTGGCTATGTGTGTATGTTATGGGTGTGCTGTGTGTGGCGTGTGTGTGTGTGGAACTGTGTGCGTGTGTGTGGTGTGAGAATGGTGTGTGTGTGTGGTGTGTATGTGTGTTGGTGCTGCATGTAATGACGTATATGTTGTGTCTGTGTCTGTGTATGCATAGTGCCGCGCGGTGTGTCTTATGTGTGTGCGCCGTGGTGTCGTTTATGTGTATTGTGCGCGCCGTTGTGTGTTATGTGTGTGCGGCGTGGAGTGTGTGTTATGTGTGTGCGCGTGCGTGTGTGTTATGGTGTGCGCCGATGGTGTGTGTGTTATGTGTGTGCGCGGGGTTAGTGGTGCGCGTGTGTGTTATGTGTGTGCGCAGGCGTGTGTGTTATGTGTGGCGCGTGCGTGTTATGTGTGTACGAGTGCGTGTTTGCTCGTGTACCTCTCTGTCTGTATAGAGTGACGGATGCAGGTTATCAGGAAGGAGTCGTTGTTCCCCTGGTTGTTTAAGCAATCCATTTGTAATATGTATGAGTACTTTAAAAGTGCGTGAAGTGGCATTTGACGCATATCAATTAAATTAAAGCTGTTGTTAAAATTAAAAAATTAAAATTAGAATGGTAAAAAATGTTGTTACTTTCCAATTAGCGACATAGTAATCACTAAATCTATCACGTTTTGGCAGGTAAATCATGTACTTTTTCAAACATGCACACGCGCGCACACACACGCACACGACTGACACAAACAAACAAACAAACACACATAGAGAAACGCACGCACACGCGACGCACACGCACGCTGCACGCACGGCACGCAACACATACACCCGCGCGCGGCACCGGCACGTTTACACACAAACAACATACACCGCGGCGGCAGCACGTACACGCAACACATTGACACCCAGCGGCGGCGCAGCACGTCACGCCAAACAATGAACGCGGCGCGCACGCACGTACGTATATCTGACAGACGC